TTTAGCTAACTCAGGAATAGCATCAATTGCTTTTTGCATTTCATCCATAGTATCAAGTTTTAATTTTTCTTCTTTATTTGAATTGAACTGATTTAATCGAGTTTGAATTTCATCTGTCACTTCAACAAACATTCTTTGATGCATTTGTCTATAGAAAGGATCATTTGGAAAAGCAAACTCAACTTTTCCTGTTGGAAGTTCTACTAAGTTACTATTTATTCCTAAAAATTCATGAATCATTGCTTGGTATGTCCATTGTATCAGTAATGGAGTTGCACAATCAAAAGACCGATGAAGAATTAATAATGTTGTTGGTGTTGGTTGTATTGGAATTAACCCATCTTGAACAGTCAAAGAAGACTGAATACGTTGACTAATTTTATAGGCAATATTCTGAGGTAATGTAGACCCATTGGTTTGGTATCGACTAAACAAATAAATATTTATTCTTTTATGTTTTTTTGAGAAAAAAAACAAACATCACTGGATTTTCTTTTTGAGAAATAAGAATTGACATTAATGCTTCAACAGATCGTTCTACTGTAATTTCATCAGACTCATTCCCTTTAAAACATAATGAAAAAAGATTTGAAGTTATTGAACAACAATCCATATAAAGCTCTTGAACACTTTGAACAATTTCGTGAACATCTGCTTCAGCTAATGTTTCGATAATACTTTCATTAATTGGGGATGTAAAAACTAGATAATTAGATATTTGTTAATAAATAAAAGAATAATAAACAAACATATATAATATTGTTTGTATTTTGGTACTTTTAATTCTTCAACTAAACGATCAATAATAAATTTAGAAGGATGCAATACACAAATAGCAGTTGCATAATACAGAGGTTCTCTTGTTTTATCTGCAATATTTGTAATGATATAAATTTCTTTTTGGGTAACATCCATCATAGAATATAAATGACTAACAATAGAAGTTGTGATACTATCTAGTACAAGTGCTTTTAGTCCAGTGTAGTATGTTAATGCATGATTAAGATATTCTTGTTGAGTTTTCAAAATATCATAGTCCATATTTCTTCGTTTAAACTTTTTTTTAAGTTCTTTTAATATTTTTTTTTGTTTTCTTTTTATCTACTTTTTATTTTTTATAGAAAATCATCAAAAATAATAAAAGAACAAAAATAGAATAGATTGATAGATTAAAACGTTATACTATTTAGACAAAGAGTTGAGATGTCTTGCTTTCAAAGATTCTCTATATGAAAAATAGTCTGAGAAATTAACAGATTGATATGTAAATGTCTCAAAATTACATTCAATCCCTTTAGCCCATTTTGGAATTTTAAACTTTTCAGATTTTGATGTTTTAGTAGAAAATTTATCCATTTCAATTTCATTTGGTATATTTATTGAACTTTGTTTTATTTGGTACAATGTACTTTTTTGTTTTATTAATATATTTGTACCTATATCAATTCTATTTAAAGTTTCACATAATACATCTTTACGTAATAAGTCCCAGTCTTTAGATACAAACTGTCTATATTTTCTAACAACTTTTGAAAACTTATCTAACATTGCTTTATTCTCTTCAACTAAGATATTAGTTTCAAGACTACCCATTAGAGTATATACTACAGAATATATTTTTCTTTCTTCAAAAATAGGAATAAAGTCTTCTAAATTATTTCTTTCTAAAAACTGCATAATAAAGAAGTCATTATGAATAGGTAATGATGGAATTTTTTTATTTACTTTCATTACTGTAGTAATTACCATAGAAATACTTATTTTTCCATGTTTATATTTGTTAATTTGATTATCAAGCTTCTTAAACCATGGATTTGTACTTTCTAAAAGTTTCAGTATCTTTGCTTTATTTAATGACGTTGGCTTTAATCTTGAAAAACTATGAACACATACTTCTACACGATCTCTCCATTCATTGTCTTCATATTCAATCTTCCTTAATTGATTTAATGATGTAAAATAACTATCTCTCTTTGGAATCATCATTAAAACTCTGAAATAAACTACATTTTGAACCGAATTGAAGAATTTAGGAAAATGATAATCAACTCCTAATGGAATAGTATCTAATGGATAAAATAAAATAATACCAGAACTCTCTAATGATAATTGCTCTTTCTTTCTTTCTGCTAAAACTGTAGCATATTGTAATGCTGGCCCACAACCATGTTCATATCCAAATAATATTATTCTATCATCTCTGTATCCTCTTTCATTTATTCTTTTTAAAACTACATCTACCATAAGAATTAAATCTATATCTTTTTTATTTTTATTTAATCCATATCCTGGATAATCAAATGAAATACACCTTGCTTTAAATATCTTTGTTACCATTTTCATTTCTTCTTCTATTTCTTTAATATCTTTTTCAGCACTATGAAATACAAAAAATGTGAAGTTATAAGGATTTCTAATTATTATAAATATTTCTTATGTTATTAAATCATCCAACAAAATTATTTGAACAAACTCTTTACTTAAAATAAAACGTACTGGTATTGGTTCAAATCCTTCAATTGGGACCATAATAAGTCCATGAAGATTTTCATCATATGTACATTCTTTAGGGGTATGTTCCAATATATATTCATACTGTTTATTCATAATTGATAAAAGTCAATATTTATTTTGTAGTTTATCAAAAATCACATTAAAAAGGTACGTTCTTGTCAGAGACAACGAATCTTCGTTTTTGTTTGATTAAACTAATTTTAGGATTCTTATTCTATTCTTATTTCGTTACAAATCAATTTTTTTGACACTTTTTTTCTTAAAAATGTTAAAAAGCAAAATATTTTTCAATTAATTATATTTGATTAGAGTTTTAAACATATCTTCTTTATATTTTGAAATAATATTTTATATTGATTAAATCCTTTTAATTCTTACAACTAACAAAAGCTTTCTTGAAAGAATTTGGTAATAAAAAATGAAAATATAAACAGATTTAGTTCATTCTTCTTTGTTCTACTTCATTAGTCTTAGTACAAATTTTTAATAATTTTCTTGATGTGAAAAATTCGTGACATAAACATTGTTGTGCACTAAGTCTTTTTTTTTGATCCATTTCCAATAAACCATTAACCAAATCTTGAAACTCAGGAGAACAATTCTTAAATTCTATACAATCATCTCGTTTGCCAGAAATTACTCTTTTCATAAAATCACTCCATTTACAATTTAATTTATCAAATGTAACAAGTTGTTCAAAAGGATGTTTTCCTGTTGCTAAAAAATACATCATAATTCCTGCTGCCCACATATCAACTTTTGTTCCATTATAATCTCCATCTTTAAATAATTCAGGAGCAAAATATGTTGTAGTTCCAATGTGTGTTTTTGCTGCTTGTGTTTGGTCTATTATTCTACCAAATCCAAAATCAGCTAATTTAACTTTTAAATTAACTCCACAAAGCATTACATTCTCTAACTTTAAATCTCTATGAATAATGTTATTTTCGTGAAGATATTTTAATGCACTAAATATTTGATACATAATAGTCTTAATCTTTGCTTCACTCATTCTTTTTTCTTTCTTTAATGCATCAAGTAATTCACCCCCACGTACATATTCCATGATAATATAGAGATATTGGTTTGTTTTAAATACCCCTTTCATCTTAACAATATTTTCATGATTAGTTTTTCTAAGTACTTCACTTTCTCTTCGACCAGACTCTTCAGCTGATCCTTTTGTTCTTGTTATTTCTTTCATCACATACTCTTCTTGTGTTTCTTTTTCAATAACTCTTCTAACAATTCCAAATGTCCCTTCTCCAATATATCCTTTAACTTCATAATGTTCAAAAGGTCCTCCTTCTTCAATTTGTTTTTGTTTAAACTCGTTATCAATAAATACATACGAAATGTGTTCTTTTAGTCCTGGGTCAAGAAGTGTTAATGTATCAAAACAATGTATTTCTTCTTGAACCCCTTTTCCAAGATATTTTCTATTGATAAATGTCCCATTAATTGAATTATCTGTAATGAAACAATGAGACAAATTTTCATTTGGTGTTGTAACTCTTGTTATTATACAATGTTTATGACTAATTGATTTTTCTTTTGACAAACAACAAAATTTATTTGAACGACCAATTATTGTTTCATTCTCTATTAGTAATAAAGATGGAACTCTTCCTAATGAACAAAGCATTCCCCACTTTTTATTCATAAATAACTTTGGAAATGAATAATTTTTGCTAAAAGTCTAGGGTTTCTTCTTTTTTTTCTTCAGAGTAATTTTGCTTATGAAAATAAAAGAATTATCACGTGTTTGTGGTAATATGGATAAAGTCAAAGAGGTTAAATTCTTCTTTATATACCATTTAATTCAGGTTAATTTTATTAAATAAGATTTAATAGAGTATAAGAACCTCCTAAAGAAATTGTTACTTATAAATTAAAATAAACCATTCAATACTCTTCAAATCCAATTCTTATTTGAAGGTTATTTTTTAAAATGGAATGTCTTGGAACTTTACTTGGAAGTTATATTTAAAAATTTTTAACAAGAAATTAGGATTAATGGAATTTATATCATTATAAAAAAATTTAATAATTTTAGAGTTAATACATGAAACAGTTTGGGTTGGTTATAAAATGTAAATTCAAAAATTTATATCCTTACAGAAGTTGAAACAAGAGTTTTAGTACGTTTATGAGGGATTATAGTGTTTGGATACAAAACAATACTTCAAACAATAAATTCATCAACCATTTATGCAGAGATGAGTTATGGACAAAAGCTAATAACTTCTTTTATGGAAAAAGTGTATTGACAGTTAATTAATTTCTTAGTGAATGTTAATTCTAAATAAAATACTAAATTATTAGTTATTTTTATTTATAAATTATTCAAAAAATTTTTATAAAACATAATATAACTCTTTCAATTAGATTAAAAACTTCTCTTACGTTTGAAATTTTTAATAACTCTTGATTTTCTGAGTTGTTCTTCATTCTTCTACAAACCTAAAGAACTTCAAAAAATTATTATGAGTCTTATTTTACTTATTTCATTGTTATTTATTAATAACTCATTAGCTACTTTATGCAATGAATTAGAAATGAATAAAGTATATACAGTAGAACAAGCATTTGAATGTATTGAATCAGTAAAAGTAAATAGAACAGTTACTGAAGCAATTAAAAAAGATATTACTGCAATTTTTGAAACATATGTTTATAAAGATATTTTACTTTCACCACCAGCTATTAAAGGAAAAGCTGATTATTACCAAAAAGTAGATATAGATAAATTATTAAAAGAATTAGATACTACAGAGACTTCTATGTATTCTTTTTATCAAAAAATTGAAAATATCTTTTTTGCTACTCATGACCTTCATTTAACTTTTAGAATTAGTTCTAATAATGAATTTAAATATTATTTTGATAGTTTTTATGCTGTTTTACCATTCTCTATTGATATTATTAATGAAGGAAAAGATGTTATTTTAATTCCATATGATGTTCTTACTCATTATGGTGTAAATCTTCCACAAGAAATTATTGATAATAGTAAAGTCCCAGTTCAAAGTATTAATAAAATGAAACCACTTGATTGGATTCGTAAATATGCAGAAGAACATACTTTTCTTAAATCAAATCATGGTAGATTTACTTATGCTATTGAGTCTATGTCTAACCAAAAACTTACTTCAATTCCATTTGAAAAAAGTTTCTTATCAGAGTCTATTGATATCGTATATTCTAATGGACAAACAGTATCTACAGGATATTCAATGTTATATAAACCATTAGTTTCATTAACTAAAAAACAACAAGAAAAGATTAAAGCTAAAGAAGAAGGTAAAAATATGAAACCAATTAGTTTAAATGATTTTATTGATTTAAAACAAGACTCAAATACTTTTGATTATGAGTCATTAGATAAAAATATTGCTTGTAAAACATTTAAAGAAGATGGAAAACAAACAATTAATGTATTTGTTTTAAAAACTTTTTATCCAGAAACAGAAGTTGATAACTTCTTTGAAACATTTGATAAATGTATTGCTCAATTTGATGAAAATGATGACCCAGTTGCTATGATTTTACCAATGAATGGTGGAGGATATGGAGATTTAGAAAGTAATATTGAAAATTTACTTGCACCTTATGAAGATACTGCATTAATTGGAAGTGTTAGAATATCACCAGGAGCTGAGAATTGTATTAAACATGAATATGGTAGTGGAATGTATGATCCAATGAATTGTACATCAAGGTACAATATAACTGGAAACCTTTCAATTCCACTTGGAGAATTTTATACAAAACCAGTTCCTGTAGTATATGGAAATAATGTTACACATATAAAATCACAAGTATCTCTTCTTGTTCCAGAAACAATGCTTGCTTCAAGATTTACTAAACATCCAAGAAATCCAAATCAAATTATTTTATTTACTGATGGATTTTGTTATTCAGCCTGTGCATTATTAACAAAAGGAATGTGGGAAAGAGGAAGTGCTATTATTGTTGGATATGAAGGAGATCCAGAAGGTGATGTAGAATGGTTTGATGCTGGACAATCACCAACAGCCGTAATTGGAATGGATGAAATGTTTTTACCTGAAGGAGATGATTTAGCAAGATATGGAGGTTTTATGAGAACTAGTTTTTATGAATATTTCGAATGGAATCTTGATTATAATAAAGAAAGTAATCCAAGAGAATTTACTCTTTCACCAATTGATGAACGAGTTCAAATTTACAAATATACTGAAGATAAGTTAGAAGAGTTTGTAAAAGAAGCAAGAAAGATCTTTGAAAAATATGAAAATGGATGTAATCCTAAAAATAAAATGCTTACTAAATATAGTTCTGAGTGTGACAGTCAAATAACTGTCGAACATGGTCATGGAGGATTTATTTGTGGTGATGATGGAAAATGGTCTAATATATGTAAAGTTTCGTATTGTGATCATGGATATAAATGGGATGAATATAATCAAAGATGTATAGAAGATGCATGTTATAAGACAACAGATGATGATGACAGTAATAAAAAAGAATGGATTGTCATAATAATATTTATAATTGCAGTAATAGTAATAGGAATAATAATAATAGGAATAGTATTTGTAGGAGTTTATTTGAGTAAAAGAAAAGAAAAAGGATATATTCCAATCACTAATTAATTAAAAACAGCAGTTTTTTTTTTCATTTATTTAATTTCAGTATTTTTTAAAGAAGTTCAAAGAAAGAATATTGAGGTTATTTTCAAATATTTTTGTTTTTATCATCTATCTCTTTTTTTCATAACTAACTAACTAACAAAGTTTGAATACAAAAAAATTCATTTATTATTCAGTTATTATACAAAGAGGAATCATGTTTTGTGTTATTTAATCAAATTGATGAACAAATGAGTTCAAACAAGGATCATTTTTTGAGATAATAATTGACGTGTTATTTGTTGTGAAGATTGAGTTGATGTATTGATTAACTTTCTTTCCTACTGTTTCAATTCTTTCTTTGTTAAATAACACTTTACCATTTCTTATAATAAAATGGATCGTTTCACCAAGAGCATCCTTATCACTTGGCTCTTTTTTTTTCCTATGTTTTCTTGGAGAAGGGGCTTTTGATAATAGTACATAACCGAATTCACTTAATAAATCACAAAGAATATTTAATGAAAGGATAAATCGATAATTTTCACTTCTTCTTGTCGCTGTTTTAGGAACTACTCCTATTGATACTTCATAGTTCATCCGTTGTTTAACAAGTGTTTGAATTAATTTTGAGAATGAAATACTATCTTCATTTGAAAATATTAATGATTCAATAGGAAGAAATTGCATAGTTACTAATGCTTTTTTAGCTGGTTTGTGAATTTGAATATCACAAAATTCATTTAAACATGCAAGAAAGATAGCTTCTTGGCATGTTTGATAATTTCGCCATTTGATAAACTTCTCTTTTGAAGAGAGTTTCCCGTGGCCATGGCTCATGGAGGTGATAAATCTGAAAAAGGTGTAAAGAATAGATATAATTGCCACGGTTAGAGATTCAAAACGATTGTTTAAATTCGATCTTTGCACTCTTTTTTTTCCTCTCTTTTTGAATAATTTTAAAAAGAAACAAAATTAGTTTTAATTTTTTTTTTTGGATGTCTTAAAAACTGAACATCATTATCTGTTATTGCAAATGTATATTTTATGGATTTACTAAAAATTCACTTATTTTTCATTGTCATTTCAAAAAAAAGAAAAAGCAACTTTCTTCGTAGGATTTTGATTTAAAAGTTGTTCGAACTGAGATTAGTTACAGTTCATATCTTAAAAACAAACTTTAAAATAACCAATTATCAATCAATATAATTTAAAAATGGATGATTCAATGCATTAGTACAAGTTATTCTCTTTTCAGGATTAAGACATAATAGTTGAGTACAAAAATCTAAAAATTGAGGATGTCTTGAATGATCAATAAGTCTCTAATTAATGAGTTAATTACAAATAGACAATGATTTAATTTATTAAAAAAAAAGGAACAAACATGAAGTGGTGATGGATCAAAATTATGAGGTGTTTCACAAATGACATACCCTGATTTAGAAAAATAATGACTGTCATGAGATAATATATGTGGAAACTTTCCTAATACCATTTCCATTTTTAATAATTGTTCCCTTTCACTTTTTCCTGTAAAAATTTGATAACCAATGTACATTTCTAATAATGTACAACCAACACTCCAAAGATCAGTTGCATATGACCAACCATCTTGAAGTAACATTTCAGGTGAACAATATGGACGAGTTCCAACAGTACTAAAATGCAATCTATTTTCAGAGAAAGTAGCTAATCCAAAATCTATTACTTTTATTTCATCATGTATTGGAACTCTTGTATGTTGGTACTAAAAAAAAATAATTATTTCTATTTTATTTAAAGAAAATATGTTAGACAAACTTTTACAATATCAGGATTTGCACAAGTATCATCAGTAATTGTTACAACTTCATAATCATCTTTTTTTAACATTATATTTTCTGGTTTTATATCACAATGAATAATTCCTCTAGAATGAAGATATGAAAGAAATTGAACTGTTTGACGAGCAACACTTCTAATAAAACTCAAAGAATAAGGTATTTCTCTATTGTCATAAAGAAAATCATATAAATTAATTCCACCAAGTTCTATTACCATATAATCTCTTTTATTAAATGTAAATGAGTCAAGGTATTTTATTGCTATACTATAATATCAATATTTATTTATTATGTATTATTATATTAATATAAAATAAAGTGGATTGAAGTAAATATTAATATTTTATTAAAGCATTAAATAACTAATATAATTGTAATACATATTTCTTCTTCAAAAAAATTATTAGAAATTAATTATTTTAACTAGTATTTTAAAGAGAATGTTCATTTTATTTTGACAATTCTCTTCTTAATATTAACACAAGAAGCTAATAAGATAATCCAATAAATTGATGATTCAATTAATACTAATAAAATTGGCTAATGGTTCTGGTTCAATCAGTGAATATTAAAAGCAATTAATAATTTATTCTAAGTAGTTTTCCTTTTTTTTTTAAAGTAAAAAGTAATAAATGGTTTTCTATACCATAGGAAATATTATCAACCCACAGTTTAATAATAACAAAAATAAAATAAAACAAACTTTGCTCTTGGATCTGTTGCAGATGCAAGAATTTTCATTATTTCTATTTCTCTTCTATCATCAAATCCTTTATCTGAAATCATTTTAAGTGCAACTTGACAATTCCTCAATTGATCATAACACTTCATAACTTTAGAAAAACCTCCCCTACCTAAATACTCATTAATAATATAACGATTGTTGATACAGTTGTTTTTTTCTGCCATTTCTCTGTAATACATTTTTTTTTTTCGTTTTTACTTTTCTATACAAAAAATTTTGAGTTCTTTTTATATTCTTTTATTATTTATTTTATTATTTTTATCTATTTAATTATTAAAACTTAAAAATCAACTTATTGAAGAAAAAAATTTAATAAAACTAAAAAACAATAAAAAAGAATAACAAAAAATGAGAGTTTTAATCCAATTATTATGTTGGATTGTCTCATTTATATTACCAAGTTGGATCGAATTAAAATGGTCTAATGAAGGTATTTGTTTTTTATTTAAGTTAAATAAAGTAGTTTCTTCAATTCAAATTAAAGATATTAATATCCACTTTTTGAATAAAATTATGGTTATTGAAATTACTACTATTAAGGGATGGAGTAATTTTAATAATATTAAAGAATTAATACAATTTATTCAACAACAAGAAAGAAAAGAAAAAACTAAGAAATGGTGGAAAGTAATGATAGATAATGTTATAACTTTATGTATTCAATTTATTCTTAAGTACCAAATTATTAAAGAAATTTGTTGTTCATTAAATCAAATTAATTTAAATATAAATAAAATGAATATTCATGAAAAACATTGTACTATTACATTTGATATTTTTAATATAAAAGGAACTATTCAACATCAAAGCATTGAATGTTATTATCAAAATGTTGAACTAATTATTCAAGGAAAAGATATTAAATATGAAATTGAAAATAATTTATATATTATAACAATGGATAAAATAAGTGTATTAATGAATAGATCAAAAATTGATTTTTGTTCCATTAAATTAATTTATAAATATTGTCTTCATATTTATCTTCAAAAAATTGATTTACATTCACAAGACATATTAATTCCAATAGAAAATACTATTTTATTAAAAAATAATACAAATGAAGAAGTTTGTATTATAGATTTTTATAATAATATTATCCTTTTAAAAATATTACAAATAGAAATGAAAAGTATTATTTCATCTTTTATTAATATTCTTATTGATTTTATTCCATTAAAAGTTTTTCAAAATGTACTTTCTCATAGTATTTCAAAAAAAGTTATGGGTTTTATTAATTCAATTATATTAAAATTAAAAATATGTTCAATATCTAAAGTTGAATATGAATTTGAAAGTAATAAAATTTTATTTAATGAAAAAAAGTTTGATTTAAATATCAATTCATTAATTAATTCATGTTCTCTTTCATTTATAATTAAATCAAATAAAATTCCATTAATTAAATTAAATCAAATAGAATTAAATATAACTAATGATATGATTATTCATTGTAATATAAATACAATTAATTTAATAGTCAATAGTTATACATTATATCAAATTGCTCACAGTTATTTAGAATTTACAAATAATATTTATTTTATATTATCTAAAAGGTATCAATTTAAATATAATTCATTTAATAATAAATCAAAAGAAAATACTAAAAAAGATATTCTTATTCCATATAGTTATTCAACACAATTAAACTTACTTCCATTAAAGGAAAATAACACATTATTTATTTATAATAATACTTTATGGATTAAAATTAAAACATTTTTAAATCATTTACATTTTGAATTCATAAAATCTACAATAATATTAACTGATTGGAATACATCTAATAAAAAAGAATCAAATACTCATGATATTATATTTGTTTTTCATCATTTTAAAGAAACTGTAAAAGAAATAACAATTGGTTCTTTTAAAGTCAATTATCAAAATAAAAATATTACATTAAGAAATATAGTAATAACTCTTATACCTTTATATATAATAATAGAATCAATGTTTATATCTATTCCACCTCAATTATTTGATTCTTTATTACAGAAATTAAAAAATATACTTTCATATTTTCTTAAAGAAACTTATACATTTAAAAATTTATCTTCTATTCCAATGAAAATTCTTCAAAATGGTCATTATATTGATTTTAAACCTAATAGTGTGATTAAATTAAATAAAGTTAATGAAATTTCATTTATTATTTACGCTCAAAAATATACATTCTTTTTTCCACCATTTAATCAATATTTTCATTTTAAAGATATTCCATTACATTTTTATTATTATTCTCATACTCTTATTTTATATTCATCTTCAATTATTCAAAATTTATTAACAGTACCACTAACTTTATCTTTTCCTTCTATTTCTTTTACTTTACAACCAAATCAAACTATTGGACTTGATGACATTTTATTAAATCAATCACTCTCATTTCAATATGACGGTTCATCATTTAAATTTCTTCTTCCTTGTTTAAGGTCAATAACAACATCATATCATGACATTGCACATTCTTTGCAGATAATTAATTCTAATGAACCAATTCCTTTATTATTAATTAAATCAATGAAAACAATAAAAAATGCACTTCCCTATCCTATTATTCTTAAATCAGTAAATGAAACACCAACCCGTGTTGTTATTAAACCAAAAACTGAATTTACATTATTTCCACTTTCTGGATTTATTTATACACTTTCTGTTAATATAAATGAAATTGAATTCACAAATATATCAATGGCAAAAGATGAATATATTCAAGTTAATGGCACTATTATTCATCTTTTGAAACATGCAAATTGTATATGTTTTTATTGTAATTTTGTATTAAGTAATTATAGTGGGTTATGGTTAAATTATTGTCCACATAAGAATTATTTATTTAATACTCCAAATATTAGATTTTTGAGAGAAATTATAATTAATGATATTAGTGATATTTATATTGGAATAAACGATGGATCTTATGAAAAATTAAATCAACAATTTAAGTTAGTGTCTAATAACTATGAATATTTCTTTTCTACATCAATTACAACATGGTTTGAAGATAATAAATTAAATATTAAAACAAAAGAAATTATGATTAATTCGTCATATCAAATACATAATTCTAGTGAGATGGTAGTGACTATATGGTCTAATAATTATCAAGAATATATTAATATTAATGAAACAATTGTTATTCAAAAACTTGAACGTACTCAACCAAAAATTTTAAAATTTGGTATTCTTGGAGGAAAGAATTCAATGGGACTTTGTTGGAGTAGATCATTTGATATAGATGATATTTTTAATTATCCTGCAACAATACCAATTGTTGGAAGTACTAAAACAATTCATACTAGAATAGAAAAAGGAGTATTAGTACTTGATATAAATGAAGAAAATGAATGGAGTTTTATTAATAACACTAATATTCTTCTTACATGTAAACAAAAGAATCAAAAGGATAAAGAACAAAAATTAAAAATTTATAAGAAAAGTGAACTTAAATTTAATTTAGATAATCCATTTGGAGAACGTATTATTAATATTCAATATTATTATAAAGGAATTATGAATAAATTAGATGAAATATCTCTTGATGAAACAAAACAATATAAACAAATAAAAAACAATATAACGTTTTATATTAAAGTTATGAGAGAGCCATCAATCATTATTGTTTCTAATGAAATAATAAATAAAAAGAGTGTTGAAGTATTTAAAATAAATACTATTGCAGTAGATTGGGGATTTATTGGGCAAATGAAAAATATTTCAATTAAAATTGAATCATTATCTAAACTAGTTCCAAGTTGGTGTAAAGAAAAAATTCCTTTGGAAGAATGGAAGTTAGAGTTTTATATCAAAAGTATATCTATTAATGAAAAACAAATGGAAATAATTAGTGCATATGATAAATTACAATGTGAAATAAATATGCATAACTTTTTAATTAAAGGAATTATTCTTAATCCTCCTGACATTAATATCATTCTAACTGAACAAATCATTCAAAAAATTGTAAAACTTCTTCCAAATGAAAAAGATGAACATTCACAAATTCAATTATTCCCTGTATTTATTGATAATTTTAATATACATTTTTCTATGATGGATTATTCTTTACTTTCTAATATTAATCTTTCATTCCCTCATTCTAATTTTCCTGCTTTACCACTAAATAAATTGGTACATTCTCTTTATTCATTTTATAAATCACAAATCCTTCGTCAAACTTTCTCAATTGTAACTTCTGTTTTAGTTGATCATTTCCCATTAGAAGTAATCTACCAGTGTGTCCATGCATTTTTCCCTTCAAACTAAGATTCTACCTATTTACCATTATATTTGAAATACTCTTAAATCAAAACAGTTCACAATCTTTCTTTTTTTATTTTTTTTTATGCTCCTGTATCATTTCTTCTTTTTCTTCTTCTATCTATTTATTGTCTTTGTGAAAATATAAATAATACAAAATTAAATTACGTATCACTGTTTCATTTAATCTATACTACTCTCTAATTATTAGAACATTTATTAATAAACTAAGTAATTCATTTGTTTTGACTTGTAAATTTACATTCCTTACACAGAAATTATAACTCTTATAATTTTTCTTTAATAATAGATAATAAACCATTTTATCAATTCTTAAACTACAACATAATAAGTAACACTAGACAGATTGACAAAGAAAATGTAAATATTGTTTAAACCATCTTTTTCATAAAAAGAGTTTAACAAAAAAAAAACAAAGCGATAAGATAATTGATTATTTCTTAATCTTATTTTAGTTATTGTAAAGATTCTATTAAATATTTTTATAGATTAAACTAAAAATTATTATATTCCTATTAGTTATTTCAGCTATAAAAGATATTATATTATAATAATTAGATGAATTTAAAGTATATACTAAACTATTTTATTCTTTTCATTTTCAATATTTTGTAATTATTTATTAGTGTTACATTATTAATAAGAATTATATATTTCTTAGAGAATGACTAAGTTATGAATAACAATCTATTAGGTATTGTTATATATTCCTTTAATTTTATAGACGTATCTTACAATATGAGAATCTAGATAAGGATAAACAATACACTTGAATTATTATTGTTGTTGTTGAAGTTGACTTTTTAATTGAGTATTTCGTTTTTCTTCTTTTTCTAATTGAGCTCTAAGAGAATTGAATTTATCATTAAGTGCTTTAAATTTTTTTTCAGAAAAGAATACAGAGTATTGAAGGGCACTTTTATAAATATCTTTTAATTGTTCATCAGTATATTCTTCATCATTAAAATTAGAAGAATTTATCAAAGCTATCATCTCTTTTCCTTTTTGAATTTGATCTTCATTTAAATCAGTAAAATTATCATTGAATTCTTGGTTAGACATGACGAATGAATAAAAACAGTTTTAGGGTTGTAAAAAAAAACTTTTTCAGTTCATAGTAAATGGCAGAAGAACAAGAATATGATATAGAAATAAATGGACTTCAAGATTTTGACTTAGTCACTAGTGTTAATTTTAAAGAAGAAGATTATGAGTTAGATGAATATGTTGATATTTTAATGTCTGCATATGAGTATCATGTTATGGATTCAATAAGACGATTTAAAGAAACAGAAAGAGGATTAGAATTAGTTGAACAACGACTAAAAGAAATTCAAAAAGAAAATGAAGAATTAGAAAAGAAAATAATTAATTGAATCATATGTGAATTTCTACTTGATGAGAAATACCTTCTGAAACAAAATAATAAACTTTATAAAGAGGATCATCTTTCCATGGAATCATTAATAAAACTGGTATATCAGCAAATTTAGTTTTTAAAATCCATGAAGAAGACTCAATGAAAAATACATTATTTTTTGGTCTTATATGAGGTCTAACAAATGAATCTTTTGTTTTAATTATAAACTTATCTATATCAGAGTCTTTTACTTGTTCTATGCACATAACCAACCCAGATTTATTTAAAGATGGTGGTAATTGCATTTTATATAATTGTAATGAATGTTCTTTCTTTAATTGAATTGTTGTAGTAGTTGAGAAATATTCTAAAACTAATGGTTTTGTTTTGTCATAAGAAGTAATATCAACACTAGTTATATAAACACCTTCTTTTATATGAATTCTATCAAATACGGAAGGAGAAGTAACACATTTAATTTTTGTTGTTTCTTTAGGATCAAGAATAAGAAGTTCATCATTTTCTTTTGCTTTTAAACCATTCCCTCTTCCAAACATTAATGCCTCTTGTGTATCTTCAATAGTTAAGGGATAATCAACTCCTTTTTTAATTTTATGTACAACAGCAGGCTCATTATCCCCATCATTAATTAAACAAATGACAGCTTCTGGATTATTTGTTTTATACTTAATAAAGAGATATTTTTCAAATGAATAATAAACACAAGAAACATCTTCAATAAATATTCTTTTTTGTTCCAAAGCAGTGATATTGAAATTCATTGGCTATAATATTATTTTTATTTAATAATATTAAATAACAAACAAACTTCAAATGTTGTATCAATATTTAATTTTTTAAGTTGGGTTAATCTTTCTAAGTCTTTAATGTATTGAGGAGTTTGTTTAATAGTTTCATTTTCCTTTTGAATTTCATTAGATCGTTGAATAACTTGATTTAATTGAGTTTTTAATTCATTAAAAGCATGTTCTATTTGATTTGACGTAATGCAGATTGTATCAACTTTTTGTTGGAGCCAATCAATTAAATTATTTTTATTTCCATTAATCAAAACCACCGTAAATGTATTAATATAATAATCTTGGTTTTCATTTTCATGTTGTTTTATGTTTTTAATATCACCTCTTTGAATTCTTTTAATAAAAGGGTTTTGGTTATTCATCAATTGTAAAACATCAATAATATCATTATTAGGTAAGACAATTGTGTTTTTTCCTATAGTAGAATAAAAAAGAGTTTTACCATCAACCCAAACATCATCTTTTTGTTCTATTCGAATAATATAACTCTGATTATTATAAGTAATTGTTTCAAAATCTTTTATTCCACTTTTAATTTCAATAAACTCTTCTTTTCCATTTTCTTCTATTTTTTTCTTTGTTCCAATAATACTATCTTCAACAGATATAAATATAACTTTTTTCTCTGCATTAGCTAACTGCTCTATCTTTTGTCTTAATATAACATTTTCATTTTTTAATTTTTCATATTCTCCTGAACTATTTGCTCGTCTTCGAGGGCTTAATCCTCTCATACCAATAGTGAGTCTTGGTGATTGGTTTGGACTGTCAAATTGATTACCTACATTCCCACAAAAAGAGTATGTCATCAATAATCGTTGAAAAGTAGGTAATTTAAGTATGTCGCCAATAATCTTTTCTCTTATTAAATCACTTAAGTTATGCTCTTTCAACACTGACCCAAGTTCCACAATGAGTTGTTGCATAATATAATTAAAATTTTTTGTTCTGTTATTAACCTTTAAAAATCTGAAAAAAGAAAAGTTCAAACCAAACTTTTAGCATTAATGAAATAATAAATGATTGAAGAAGGGGAAGTATAATGTAGTAAGGAAGTAGGATAGAGTTTGAAAAAAGCTATAATTATATTATTATTATATCATATTTATACTATACTTTGTAGCACTATTTTTATCTTATTTTTATTACTTTTATTATTAGAATAATATCTATATTTGTTATTCTTGTTATTATTATTATTTTGAATGATAATGAATCATTTTTATTTCATTCTTTCTCAACTTCATATTTTCATTCATTAAACATAAAAACATTTTTCTCTAAAGAGTTAATTAATAAATTAAAATAATTTTATCATTCTATTCTATTACATTTAAA